ATTCTTTAAAGCATTGAGAACCCCTAACAGTAAACTGTTTGGGGAAATACGCGAAAACACGTCCGGTGAGGCCAGGTACGTGTGGCCGGTCGGCGGTCTGGACCTTCAGCGACTGGCCTCGGCGGCAGGGAGTCTTGATGGTCAGGAGAGGAATGTGGGGACAGGATGGGGATTGGATGGTGAGGAAGGAGAGATCTCTTGCTTGGCTCTGCAACCTACTAGCGATGGCCTCCACACTACATGGTCAGAAGGGGATGATGCGATGGACAAAAGTGTATATTCCGTTGGTCTTTTTTGGTGTAGAGCTCTAAGGCTTGTGGAACAGGTCAATGAAATGGAACGTTCACCGGTGATGGACCCCTCCGGAGACTTGCCAGTTTGCCCTAAACATGGCAAGCCTGTTTTATGTTTCCCGCTGCTGCACAGGTCAAGTTTCCCTCAACTGTGTGTCAAACAAGAATCATAGCACCACAGGTCAATTGACCAGACTGGACAGGGTGAGCAACCATGGGCGCGTTGGCCGGTGGAGCATCTGGCCATCCCACACTTGGTATCCCCATGGGATTCGGTGGAGCTATTACCCTGGGGTTGAATCGACATGTTATATAAATCCAAAGACTATTGGAAGGAATACCCCAGTATCTCCACTGAATCCGAGCGCCACTGCTGTAGCGGCGACAAGGTACATAGAATGCGAGTTCTGCCAAGCTGATTCGACCGAACCACCATGGGGAAATCCCCCAAACACCAGCTTTCCCCCTCTCTTAAAAGCAGTTCCGGGTTTTGTCCTCCTGTTCCGGGTCACGGGTCCCTTGCTTGCAGTTTCTTTTTTTTTTTCGAGCCAAGCAGTGCTCCAAGAACGCCTTTCCGAAAGCTCAGGAGCTGGATTGCCGGACCTTGACGGTGAACTGGAGATCCTCTTGCAAAGCTGGCACGGTGCGGTGCCCAGCTGTGTGGCTTCGATCCGCGCGCGTTTCAGTAGGGAGCTGGGGCGGAGCCAAGCAGCCGATGGGAGAAGTGACGCTTTGACCGGAGATGTATATTGTAGACTCTTGATTAATGACCCCCTCCTCGTTTGAATTCGAAATCCTCTTCAAATGGAGGGTTTATTAATCAAGAGTCTACATTGCAGAAGTTTTGGATGGTTTTGGGATTTCTGTAGGAATTGCAGGATGACTTGTCCATGATCAAGTGAGGTAGGAACCCTTGTGTTGCTTCTGGATGAAGACTGACCCTCAATACTGGTAGCAGGAATGGATTCTCAGCCAGCTATCACCGGCACGCTTTCCCGCTCCATTTTGCGAGCCACAGGAGGTCTATGACGAAGACTACTATGGCCCACTGCAAAAACAGCTCCTCAGCAGGAAGAATGACAAGAAAACCGGGGGTTCGGATGACTTCACATGACTGGCGGTGCGGATGTGTGCGGATATGTGCGGATGTGGTTCTTCAAATGAATCCAAGACAAAGAACCCAGGATGATGGTCCATACTGGTCAGGGTTTTTCCGAAAGCCCACTTGAGCAAGAAGACGAAGACAACCTTCTCATGACATTTTGAGTTCCAGTGACTTTCGTGTATCCTGGAGAATTGGTTCCCTCTATATTATCATAAGGAGTTTCGGCATTTGGAACACTGACTATCATGACAACATTGTGGAACACTACGTCTTTTCTCTCAAAACCCACACGTCCAATCCTCGTGTGGATGTAAGGTCCAAGGTCACCTTCACAAACAACAATGACAAGAAACACACACATTGTGAAGCAGTCCCAAACTCCTCCATACCCCGGTATTTTCATGGCCGAAAACGCTCCCCAACGGGCTGCTGCCGCTCCGTGAGTTCACAGGCTGCGCTGCCGTGTGACGCTGGACCCGGCGCGACCCGAACGGGTCTCGCTGTGGGTGGAAGCGGAGGCCTTCCTCTTTAGGCATCACCTGGGACGGGGGGGGGGGGTAGTGGTGGAAGGGGTGAATGGTGTTTTCAGGTTGCTTGGAGGGTGCTAGGACAAAAGTGGGGAAGAAGGAATCAGAAGGACTGAAGTAAAGCTGCATGAAGTGGTTGAAGAACCCGACACTAATGCGTTTGTAATGAGGGGAGATGGATGAACTGTCCAAGTTAGAGAAATCGGAGAAATACCAGATGAAAGAGTGCATGGGTGGATGTTCTCCCTATGCAGCTCGTAGACATCATATGGATCAAAAGAATACGCTCTGATGATCACTGATGATGCCGTGCTTTGTGGGACTCAGTTCTTGTACCACCCTTTTTCCTTGCTGAAGGTCACGTGACAGCCAGCACCTCCCCAGGGTTTTGGGTGCTACTTTTGGGTGCATCCAGAGGTTCACACCTCTGCCGACCTCTCCAACACACCCCGAGGAACCGGGTGCGGCCCTGAAGAACCGGACTTCGGCAGGATGGTGCGGGTGATTGCCACCGCGCTGGTCGCCTGTGCGCGAGAACCGCTGGAACTGGAGGCGCCCCGCGTGTTTCACGCGCGCCGCGCGTAGCGGTGTTGGACGCGCGTCCAACGCGCCGCGGCGTTGCTTTGGGATGTGTGGAATCCTCCGCCATGGTTCCCTGGGTGGGCGATGTGGCATCGTAGCGGGAACGGACTGGAGCTGCCTTCTATTTGGGTGTCGACCAGGTGAACGACCCAGAGAGCTTTGCCGCGACCATGGAGTGCATCAAAAGTCGGCCCGGAGGCCCAAAGGAAAGATTGTTACGCACCAAGAGAGGTTGAAGAACCCTAGAGCTATAGTTCGACTATCCCATAGGTCCCCCAGGTGACAGGTCCTTTTTCAGGTCACTTAACCAGTGTTGGCATGTTTTGCCTGGTTCTTTTGGGTAGTATTTTGGTGATATCTCTTGAGACAGCAAAGACATGCAGTCAAGACGTTTCAATCGAAACACCAGGGGTGCAGAATTTGAGAAAAATGGAGACCACCTCCCATCCCGTGAGTGTTGCGCAGGCCGGCTGCGTTTCCTTCATGGGATTGTCGGCAGGAAACACCTGCATGTTTGCTGTGTGGGCGATGTGCGCCCAATGATTTTCAGGTGCAACCTGGCGCCGCCCAATGGCCTCTTTCTGCAGAGCATCACTTATGCGGAGAGCGGCCAAAGCGAAGAACATTTGTCTTTGTGGCGGCCTGTTTTTTGGGCGGACTCTGAACATCCCTGAACAACCCACGTCGGTCTTGTGTTTGCAGCGATGTGATGCACGAGTTCCAATGGGACGAGTTGGGTTTGTCCCAGGGGCACTTGTAGAGCCGTCGGGATCCACAAGAACATCATGGTTTTAGAGATGGAAAGGCCTGCAACTTGAGTCTAATCGTGTGTTCCAAAATCAGTCGTCTGCCTAACCTAACTATCATCCACTGGGATATATTGAAGGGATGGCCCCCATTTCCACTGGACGTGCCAAAGAAGCTGGGCATTCTTCGATGAGAAGTCTGTCATGGTACTAAGCACCAAAAGACCATTTCCAAGGATTTAAGCCACTGTATATATCATGGGGCGTGACCCTGTACTAACCATGCTGGTCAGATGCGACTGACAACTTTTAGGATACCAGGACCTTCCCAGTGACCTTTTGAGATCCGAGAATGAGGTCACAAACAGGCCTTGAAAAGGTCACTTACCAATCCTGAAGAGGTCACTGGGAAGGTCCTGGTATTTGGTGTTTCATGATGTGTCATGTACTTCTTTCCGCCTGCCCCGCATAGCCCTTTTTTCGATATCGAAAACGACGCCCGCTGTTTCGGCGGTGAACGTGCCTTGGCGAAATCTTGATGGTGCAAGGTTTGGGGGGGGGTCACTTTGAGACACCCTTCATTCTCCATCAATGTGCGACATTATTGAAACAACCTTTTTGTGCATTTTTTTGCACTATTCTGTGATATATATATATATAAACACTTCTCTCGGATGGCATTGGATAGTTTCAGTGGTGAATGTGGAGCAAAAATGGCGACCTCTGGTCAAGTGGAGGGAAGCTTCTTGGAGGGACGAGCTTCTTGGACGGAAGCTCCGGATGTAGGGCGAAGTGGCGACGTGTATTGGAGTTAGAGTCTTCTCCATTTTCAGGACATGCTTGTTCCTAGGAAGGGAAGAGAGATCCTGACGAGCACCAACATTTGCTACGCAACGCAGTGCGACGTTGCATAGACCATACGAGTCCAAGGACTCTGAGCTCCTTCCGGCCTTTTTTTGTTCGTTTTCTCGCTTCATGGCAAAGTGTCGCCACGTGTCGCTGACAACGACGGCCGTCCCACGCGCCGTGCGACTTCTTGAGGTGAAGGTCTTTGGCATCGTGGGCGATGTGGGCGACACTGTGGCCACATGGCGGGAAGGAAAGGTTTCGGAAGGAACCTGATCACGGCTCATGTCAGAAACACGCCACAAATTCACCTTCATGAAGACTCCTCAACAAGAAAACAACTCTTGAGATAAAGGTCCCTGGAGTGTACTATAGGATTTCTATAAAAGGATGGTGTGTCCAACCAGTGCTTGGAAGCTCTGCCATGGCCCCGTACGTAGGGGGCAAGACCTCCAATGGTCCTGTTTTGCCTTCCAAAACAGGTTTGGCAACCACTTGTCAACCTGCACTTCAGGAAGAGTTGTTTCGAAGGATGAGTTCGCGAACGGAGGCATGTCGGTGCTCCATGGTGCTGCTTGTAGCTTCTAGCTATATAGGTGTTTCCAGAAACTCGGCCCCTTTCTTACTTCACCCGAAGTCCAGACTTCTTCGTTAAGCTTCGCGTTGCTTCGCTTTGCAGCGACCTCGAGGTTGGCCGTGGCGGCCATTGATGGTGCTTGGGGCGAGTGCGCGGAAGGCGGGGTGAACGAAGGGAGAGCGAGGTGAGAGGATGGCCCTGAAGGAGAGAAGCAGAGGATCACCCGAGCAGAAGGGATGAACTTTTGGAGCTTCCCACCGAAAACAGGAAGTTCTCACCGACTTTCTTTGGGGCCATGTAGATCTCACAGATCCAATTTCATCCCCAGGGCTGATCCCGGTTGTGCCAACCCATGGAGTGTGGCTTTTGTATCCCATCCGTTGTTGGGCCGGACCGATGTCTTCGGCTCGCGCTCGGCTCGCGTCGACTCGCCAGGCCAATGCCATGATCAAGTCGATGGCCCAAGCTAGGTGGAAGGGAGTGCCGAACCCGAGTGGAGAGGTGAAGAACAGAACAGGCGCTAGCTGAGGTGAGGAACCGATGAGTTTCATCATGGAGGGGTGCGTCACGCGGCCCTTTTTTTTGGTTCAGCCCTTGACAGCTTAAGTTTCTTGGTCCTTCGGACATGGCGGGATTTCGTCCCGTTTTGGCGTTTGGGTTTGCGAGGGAGACCCGGATCCTTTGGTCCAGCCCACGCTCTGGAAGACTGGCAGTTGTGATCACCAGCAACCAACCCCGAGGCCCCAAGAAAAAGGGACTGCACAGGGGTTTCCCCTGAACAGGAAGCATCTTCTATAGCTGTTTGTGGAAGTACAGTCACCTCCAGGTGCTCAATCGTTTATTGGCTCAATCTGTTTCTCGAACATGAGGGACATGACTCATGTTCCTGGCACGAACACCGGTGTTCGGCTGGAGATGTATCGGCCAGGTCTCAGCCATTTGGGGATAGATGTCATAGTCGGCTCGTGCACTAGCCCAGCTCCTCGACCAAAGGCTGGTCTTCTTCAGCTTTCCAAGCAACACCTCCCATTGAGGTTCTTGATCCTGTGTCACTCCAAACCCATCCAAACCCATCCCAAAACCCTTCCCTGCCTTCCCACCTGTCACCGCCGTGTGACTGCCGTGCCGAGGCCGGGCTGTTTCAGATCGACGCGAAGCGTGGCACGGCCACACTCGGCAGCAACCGCTCGCAGCAGTTGTCACTGGTCGCGACAGTGGATGTTCTCGGATGTGCTGGGAAGGTGAATGGGCTTTGGCAGGTGGATGAAAGGAGATGGAAAGAGACCACAGGAAGAAGTTTTTTGTTATTTTCGGATTTGTAAGGATTTGCATCTTTACAGTATTACAGAAGGTCTACAAGCCGACAATGTTGGACTTCCATGAGATTTGTTTGGGCTCAGGGGCTTTGAGGGCCTAATCCTGCTGGCCAGTTTCTGCGACATTGTTGTTCCTGTTGTTGCTGTTGCTTCATCTCCTCTACCAAGCAGGTAATCCACCAAGTCCTTTCTTGAAGCCAGGCATTCAGTCCGAGCAGTTTCCATGAGTCCGGGCCTGCTTATGTAATGACACTTCAGAACCCTGGAAGTCCAAGACCATTTTAAACATGGTTGACCTGGTTTTGTAGTGCAAAAACCATGGTGGTTTGAATCGTAGGGAGAATGTAGTCTCACCAGCCACAACTCCCCACCAATCTGACTAGAAAGAACGCCGCCCCCCAAACGGGAGTGTTTTCGTGTTCTTTAAGGGGTGGTTTTTGCTCCCATCTTTGTGAGTGGTTTTTTGCTCAGGGGCACCCCTAATTATCCTCCAGGTTGGGCACCCCAAGTGAGCTCTGTGACTCCTGGTTCGTTTCATCTTCCATCACCAGACCTCCCAGGTCTGTCAGGTCTGTCAGACCTCCCCTCCGTTTCAGCTCCCATGGGTTTTCTTCCTCGCGCCCGGGCAGCTCGCTCGCCCCGCGCGGAGAGCGTTCCGCGTTCCGAGCGTTCCGTCTCTGCGGACCCGTCGGCGGCGGACCGAGCCGAGTCCGGGCATTCCGATCGGCACCAACCTGGGAGGCCGGGACGACGAACGGGGTCGTTCAGGTGGGTCGAAGACGTACATGGGAAGCGGTGTATAGGGGTGATGTTTGGGAGGTAGGGGGGATAAATGCTTAAACGAAGCATAGAATTGTGTTTTTTGTTTTTAATAACACATGATACAACATCTCAGTTCAAGTCAGGAGCGGGTGTGTGGTGGCCAGCTCATGAGTCAGGATGACTTCTCAGGATGGAAGCACCAGAACACGAACCACCTGGACTGGACTTGGTGTTGGTGAAGAATGACACTTGGTGAAGAGAATCCTCCTGGAGGCTGTTGGCCAACAGGTTCTTTGAAGGATCTGAAGGATCATGCGACCAGGCGGTAGAGTTGACACACAATGGTTCAACCGCTTTTCTCACAAAGCACGTCCGAGAATGTTGAAGGACTTTCCACTTACACCAGTGAAGCCTTAGTGGTTTTTGAGACAGGTTACTGAAAAATGTCGGGTTTTGCATGGTTCTGCCGAAAAACTACCGCCGAAGATGGATCAGGCTTTGGTTGACCGAAATGAAGATCATTTCCAGCACTGATGAAGCTGGCTGATTCCTCACTGGTCACCCTCCGAATCTGGGGAATTTTCTCCACCAGCAAGCTTAGTGAGCCAGGTCACACAGAAGGTCCATCACGCTGATTCAGCCAGTCGATGGATCCCACGTCGCCACCCTCGGATCGCTCACTCAGATCGACGGAGGTTGGCTCTGCTTGGAGGATTGGTTCTTCTCGGGCAATGAGGGTCGCTTCGTGCCGCGCGCTGAGACGGACCAAACGGAGAGAGCTGAGAGCTGAGACGGCGGGCCGCCTGGGGGACGAGCAAAACCACCAGGCGGCTGATCTCGCAGATGACACATATTCAGGATGAGGTGATGAGGCCTAGATTTTTTTCATCATCCTAGGCCTAGATGATGAGGCCTAGATTTTGAGAGAAGATTTGAAGATCAGACAATTCTGCAACCGCTTTCAGAACCGCTTTTCGACCGCGTCGCTGGTTTCCCCACACCGGACGCTCCACTCCAGGACGCGCGTCGCGCTCGGCGACGCGTCGATGCGGAGAAACCGAGGTCCACCACTGATCCGAAAGGGCAAGGCGTTTGCCTGCCGCCCTTGTTGCAAGGCGCCGTCCAAAAGCGTCTTCTTCTTTTTGTTTGGCAAACGGGTCAGCGGGTCGTCAGCAGGTCTGTCAGGGGTCAGGTGTTGTGAAGTTGGGAACACCGGTGGATGCGGGTGGATTCACAGGGTGGGCCGACTCCAAATCACTTCAAAAATGCCAAGAGATGGCCCCCCCCCCAAATCATCGGTTTGACCGGAGTCCGAAGTCTGCCTGGAACAGATCCGACTTTTTCCCGGTCTTTCCCCGACTTTCCCATCCACGAATCTCGCACCAAGCAAGAATCCACGAAGCACGATATTATCGTATATTGTCTTTTTGGTTCAGATCGGGAACCGTGGACTGGGTGGAGACCGACCCATTTTGGGTGGTTGCTTTGAGGTGCGAACCCTTGAGGTTTCTTCTGGCAAGGAGGTTTGCAGAATCGTAGTCGTTGTCACCATCTCGCAGGCGGCAAGGAGCCCTGGCCATCTGAGGGCATGCTGGTGCAGAGGTGCTCGATGGTGGGGAGAGGGGAGCTATTTCAGTCCCAACTGGTGCATCGGTTGCAGTTGTTGTTCCAGTCTTCTCCGTTTCTGACTTCTTTGGATGGGCCGGGGGGTTGATCGGTGGACTGATGGATACAAAGTGCGGGTGCAGAGATACATGTCTTCGAAGATGACTTGAGTGAGGGGCAGATGTACATTCACTACGAGACTTGACATTTGTGT